CCTCACCTTCTGCCGGGCCTTCAGCGCCAGCGACATGGGGGCGGCGCGGACCCCCCCTCCCCGGGGGTCAGACCCTGCCCATGGGCCCCGGGGGGGACCCCGGGGGAAGCGGCCGCCCCCCCAACCCCCCTCCTCTTCCCCGGGGAGGAAGCGCGGTGGCCCCCGCTGTCCCCCGGCGGGGTCCCGGTGGGTGGCGGGGGGCAGGAAGGCGGCGGCCGCCTTCGAGGCCTCTTCCTGCTCCTCGGCGCCTCGAAACCGCAGGGCAGGGCGCGGGCGGCACGCTTGCGCACGCCGGGGGCACGCTTCCGCGCGCGCCCGCACGCCCGGGCACGCGCGCGTGAGCTCGGGCACGTCCCAAGTGTGCAGGGAGGGAGGGCTGACACGCCAGGGCACGCCGGGGCACGCCGGGGCACGCGCACACCGGGGTGAGAGGCTTGCTCGGGCCTGCTTGTGTCAGCTCGGGCCTGCTTGTGCACGCTCACGTCCTGTTTGGGCACGCTCACGCACTCTTGTGATGCTGCCCCGTGCGTGCTTGGGTGTGCTCACAGGTGCTAGCATCAGATCAGGCCTGCTTGTGCACACTCATGCACACTTGTGATGCTGCCCCGTGCATGCTCGGGTGTGCTCACAGGTGCTAGCATCAGCCTGGGCCTGCTTGTGCACTCTCACGTAAGGTTGAGATGCACACTCACACACGCTTGTGATGCTGGCCCGTGCATGCTCGGGTGTGCTCACAGGTGCCAGCATCAGCTCAGGCGTGCTTGCACACGCTCACGCACGCTCACATGAGGTTAAGATGCACGCTCACACATGCTCGTGATGCTGGCCCCATGCATGCTTGCACGAGCTTGGGCATGCTTTTGCACGCTGGGGCACGCTCACACAAGGTTGAGTTGCTTGCTTAGGCACGCTTGGGCATGCTCGTGCAAGCACTGGGGCGTGCTTGTGCATGCTCACACACCTGTGATGCTGGCCCATGCGTGCTTGGGTGTGCTCACAGGTGCTACCATGAGCTTGTGCACGCTCAGGTGAGGTTGAGATGCACGCTCATGCACGCTCGTAGGAGCTTGGGCGTGCTCACTCATGCTCACACGCGCGTGTGGTGCTCGTGCTGGGGCCTCCTTGGGCGCGCTGGTGCACGCTGACACCGAGTTGTGCCCGCTTTGTCACCCTCACGCACGCTTTCTGCTCGCCTGCAGACCCTGGTGTCACTGTCCTTGCACACACGCGTGCACCAGAAGTGCCCCCCCC